AAAACCTAATTCCCTTAGTAAAAAGCGATTCACAAATTAATTACTAATACCTAATCCATTAATACATCCTTCCTAGGAAAGCTTTCTGATTAAAAAAACATAACCATGTCTCTATTCCTTCCGGAAGAATCGATTCCACACATAAAACGATTCTAATAAGGTTTTACGTGTATTATCACTCACTCACTCACATATAAAATTTGCTTCATATTTGCATAGACAACTCATTAGTTAACCAAATCTATCAATTCTCACTTATAGAAATTATGACCTAAAAATCCCTTCTAGTATCTGTATTCCCATATACTAGGTTAATCTTACAACTAAAGGAAAAAAAGATAATCAAATCAGAATCCTAGATGTAGAACCCTTACTCAAATTCAGTCAATAGGTAAATGACATTTGTGTGAGTGTTATCTCTTGTGCACAAACATGTAGTACCTGATTAATAGACAAATTATCCGCTTAGTGAATCAACTTTGATGGAGCCAATCAAACTACATGCTGGAATTTTTCTGATTTTAGACTCTGCCATCACTTTCCTCCAATCAGCGGCATCTCCCCACCTTTCCCCAACAGCATTTATATTTGACAACACCACATATCGGCCACAATGTTTTGGCTGTAATTCAAGGAGCTTCTTTCCTACTTCATTTCCCAACTGAACGTCCCCATGAATCTTACAAGCACCAAAAAGAGCTCCCAAAACAGAGGCATCAGGCAGGAAGGGCATGCTAATTACAAACTCAACTGCGTCTCTCAGAAGTCCTGCTCTGCCCATGAGATCAACAACACAACCATAATGCTCCATTATTGGTACAACCCCATATCGACGTGACATTGACCGAAACAACTTCAAACCCAAGTCAACAAGTTTAGCTCGAGCACAAGCAGTAAGAATAGCAACAAAGGTAACCTCATTGGGGGAAAATCCTTGCGCTTTCATCTTCTCAAACATACATAGAGCTTGCTTCGCCCTGCCATGACAGGCAAGCGAAGAAATCATTGCATTCCAAGTGAAAACCTCTTTAACCTCTATCCGATTGAATACTCTTATTGCAGTCTCCAAACAACCTGCCTTTCCATACAAATCTACCAACGCAGTCCCCATGACAGCACTCAAACTGAACTCATTCTTAATAAAATATCCATGTATCTGCTTCCCTTGATAAAGACCAGTTCCATCTAAATTAGCACAAGAAGACAGCACAGTGACAAATGTAGCCTCATTAGGCTTTACGGAACCACTGACCACATCCTCGTGAACCATCATCTTTGCAAAAAGTCGCAATGCATCAACAAAGCGTCCATTCATCACGAACCCATTAATAACACTCGTCCATGAAACCACATCCTTCTGGGGCATACTCTCGAAATACAGAAAAGCAGAACCCATGTCTCCATTCCTCCCAAAAGCGTCAAGTAAAGCATTACATGCCACAATACATGGATGGGGAATCTCCACAAACATCTTACGTGCACTGCGTATGTTACTCACTTCAGAATACAATCTCACGAATGAAGTTTGCACAAATGGGTCGCGTAAAACACCCCATTTGAGAGCCTGAGCATGGACAATTGGGCCAGATGAGGGAGAACAAGAAGCAGCCTTGATTAGGGATGGGAAAGTGAGATGGTTTGGTGAAAGTCCATGTGCAATCATGTGGGTGAAAAGTAGTAAAGAAGTACGAGAGAGTCCCATGGAGAGATAAGATCGAATGAGAGTGTTGTAAATGAGAACAGTCTTCCATGAAGAAGTGTGGTTGAGGAAAAAGCCGTGGGTGATAAGAAGGGAATGAATCTGTTTGATCTGGTTGGGACAGTGGCTGAAATGCTGGAGGAGTTGGAGAAGAAGCTCGGGACTTGAAAATCCAGAACACCCACCTGTCACCAGAAGCTTTAACATCAAAACTTGATTACCTGCATCTCTGAATCCTCAGGATTCTTGTTCATATTTGCCAAGCCACTTCCCGCATAATCTCTGAACCTTTGTACAGCATACTACGCTAGATTTCAGTGGTCATGACCTGAAATCAAACAGCAACTAAACAAAGAACTTGATAGAATATTTCAATACCCAACAATCAAATTAGCCAAAGGACTTACCAAGCAAGAAGCATTAGGATCAATTGTTACATCCCCAGTCATCAAACCAACATCAGAGAATTCTTCTTTAAATTCCCTATACTTTTGGTTGCTGAGTGCCTTAATGGGTAAAGTGTATATTATCCACTGCTAATTCCAAAAAGACATATAAATGGCATATAATGCTACTACAGTTTTACCGGCTGATGTATGGGCTGAAACCTATTATAAATTGCAACTTGGAACTATTATTTTCTTTTGCAGAAAATTTCTGTATAGAGAACCCATAACAAGAAAAAATCAAAGCTCCTACATAATATGCTAATCACCACTAACAAATAAGCAACATAATCCTACTTAAGAATTCATTCAGCTAATGCAAGGTCTGTTTTTGCAAAATTTTTCAAGAGTTAAGCTCAAAAGAAAAACACATTTACATACAGCATTAATCAAAAAAGAAAGTAAATACACACGTGCAAACAACAGATATCTTCTCTCTTTCCTCCGGTTTGAATTACTCACACAAAGAGGTAAGGGATTAAGAACTCGCCACTACATACTCACCATTATCAAGGCACTTGATAGCTTCAGACTGAAAAGGGTCGAGACTGAATGGAAATTCCTTGGCAGGCTTCAAATCTTCTTGAGCTGCTGGACACAGAAAGAGGAGGAGGAATATAACCCTCTCCCCTCCTGCGTCTTCAACCAACTTTCTCTTCAAAGACGCAGTTAAATCTTCGAGTGCGAAAGGATTAACCGAGTAACTCACTGAACCCGCCGAGAGATTCCACGGAAGTCAGGGGAAGGATCACGAGAACAACACAGTTCTCTCCCAACACGTCCTCGGCGTCTGCTATTTCCTATTTATTTAAATATAAATTAATTAATGTAATTATTAAAAATATATATTTAATGTAATTTTCTATTTTAATTCAAAAAAAAAAGATAACTTTAGGTTGTCTAAATTTAAATTTAAATTCAAATTACTTACTATTTTTTGTATAATTTAAAATAAATTATTAAATTAATTCTCAAATTTAACATTTATTACAATTTAATTTATAATATATTTTTTTATTATATTTTAATTTTTAATATTCTTTATTTGTTATAA